GCTATGTGTTTCTATGTGTGACTATATGTTGCTATGTGTGACTATATGTTGCTATGTGTGACTATATATGTTGATATGTGCAGCTATGTGTTTCAATGTGTTATGTATGCCAATGTGTTGCTATGTGTGACTATATGTTGAGTAAGTGTTTCTATGTGGGACTATATGTTGCTATGTGTGACAATGTGTTTCAATGTGCTATGTGACTATATGTTACTGTGTGAAAGTACTACTATGTACGACAATGTGTTGCTATGTGTAACTAAGTGTTTCAATGTACCATGTATGACAATGCGTTGCTATGTATGACAATATGTTTCAATGTGTGATGGTGTGTTGCCGTGTTCTGCTATGTATGACAATGTGTTGATATGTGCGACAATATGTTGCTATGTTGAGTATGTGTTTCTATGTATGAATATATGTTGCTATATGTGTGACGATTTTTACCAAGTGCTGCTATATATGACGAGTGACGACGTGCTTCTATGTGTAACTATGAGTTTCAATGTGCTATGTATGACCATGGGTTGCTATGTGTTGACCGCTATATGTTGCTATGTGTGAAATTGTGTTCCATGTGCTACTATGTATAGATGTATGACAATGTGTTGCTATGTGGAACTAAGTGTTTCAATGTACCAAGTATTACAATGCGTTGCTATGTATGACAATATGTTTCAATGTGTGATGGTCAGTGTTGCCATGTTCTGCTATGTATGACAATGTGTTGCTATGTGTGACAATATGTTGCTGTGTTGAGTATGTGTTTCTATGTATGACTATATGTTGTTATGTGTGACGATTTTTTACCAAGTGCTGCTATATATGATGACGTGTTTCTATGTGTAAATATGAGTTTCAACGTGCTATGTATGACCATGTGTTGCTATGTGTGACAATAGGGTGTTTACGATCTACGACGCGGCCGGCTCGACGACGCCCTTTCAAAACAAAAAAATTTGGTGTTTCCACAAACAATAGTATTATGTGTTTTATCGCCATGCAAACCTACAAATAACTTACAAAGAAATTTGTCATGCAAGACAAAAACTGTTAATAATTTGTGGTACCAGGAGTATTGTCAACCGCGTTGTCATTCTCAACACAACGTCAGTTAAACAAGCATTATTACGTCTTTCAGGCAACGCGAAAGCTTAATGCGACACAAGAGATGTTACTAAAAGTCGAAATTACAGCAAACATTGCATTGCTTTATCCGAACGCAGCAGTTTGTAAGGTTATGTGAAAGAGTCAAATATTTATTACAGTAATCGAATTGCTTAGCGCTCATTCTTGAGCTAAAATTTAGACCGCGTCGTTGAACCGGCTACGTCGCAGATCGTAAAGTCCCTAATATGTTGCTATGTGTAACTATGTGTTTC